ATGCCCCCACTAAATCCAAATTCAAATTTACTACACATATAGAGAAATTTTGACATAATAAAAAAAAAAATTTACCTGTAATGATCAAATATATTTTTATGTTTCGAGAGCACAAAGTTCTTCTCCAACTATGTTTTATATTGATTCATCTTCTCCAGTTTTGATTTCTAAATCGGTGGGAACAAACTCTTAGTTAATTCCTGTTGTAAAAAAAAAAGGAAAAATTGTTTTTTTATACCAAAAGAATAGTAACATTGTCCCTTTAGATTAACTTCATATACTTTATGTCCCATTAGGCTAAATATTTTCTAAAAGGAAATAATGCCCTTAGTTTCAAATAAAAAATTGTAAAAAGAAAAATCCTCAAATCGCAAAAAAAAAGAAGGTAAAAACTGCTCCATCCAATGGGATCGATCGATCCCCAAACAGTCGGAAAAAATCTATTTTTATTATGGAAATTCAATATTTCCAAATACTTTCTTCCCATATTTTCGGAAATGAATACTCTTATTCGTAGAATGTGTATTCTACTATATGTAGAATAATAATAATTTTTCAAATTAAGTTCTACAGGTCTTATATTTATTGTAATGTGTAGATTCTGAATTATACTTATTTTAGATTTTATAGTAATGTATACATTCCATTTTCTACTGATTTTAGAAAGATAGTTTAAGCGCAGAATGTGTATTCTAAATATTTTTAGAATACTTCTACTTACGTAGATCACGTATTCTAAACATAGTAGATCTAATGAAAAAAAAATAGATTTTATTTTATACTTTGTAGAATGTCAGTTTTACTTTATGTAGAACATAATTTAAAAAACAAAAATTTATACATTTTTAAAATTTGAAAATATCACTAAATTGATATAGGTGTTTCATAACTATTTACTATTTTCTGATTTTTTTTGTTTGTAAAACTATTTATTTATTTTTTTCTAAAATACTAAAACTAAAGGGCCTAAAAGGAAAAAATGGTCCAAAATAGAAATTAGCCTAAAGAATTAATGTTACCATTTTTTAGCCTAAAAAACAATTTTCCCAAAAAAAAAAATTCTATATGTTCTGGTTGATCGAAGAAAAGGTTTGCTGGGCCTATAAAACAAAATAAAAGCCCATATTATACAATTTTTCAGGACATCCTCTACATTTCCAACTCTCCCATGGATCATATGAACAAAACTCTTTCTGCCTTCGTTACTCTCTCATTTTTTTTTTTTTTTGTGCACCACGTTACTCTCTTCTATGCTACTTTCTCACTCGCTTCTTTCTTGCGTGAAAATCCTGGAGAAGCTCTGCAGATTCCTAGAAAGGTAATTCATTTGAATTCACCAATTGACTTGCAAAAAATCGTTCTTTGACATTTTGTTTTGAGGGCAATTTTGATTAACCCCTGTTTATCTACACCATGTGTTTCTCCTTAGTCCTTAGCATATGCCTTGTTATTGTTTTGGTGTTACATTCTCAAATTGTAAACTAAAGTATTCCTATTTTTTATTGCCAATGAATGTGTTTATTGGCATTTCTGGAGATGAAATTAAGATCTTGAAGGCTTCAGGTGTCTATGAGCACACTTGCAACAATTTGAAAATGTAGTTAGATGGATGGAGAAACACTAGAAGGGAAAGAAAAGTTTTTTTTTTTGTAAAAGATGAAGTACTTTCAGACTATACAGAGTTGCTGTCATTATAGTTAGAGGTCTGAATAGGTCGCTTGTTGCTTGGGTCAAAGAATGCTGGCAAAATGATACCAGTTGTTTCATCAGGTGTCAGCAGAACCATAAGGAGCATGCTTTTCAGTAGAGTTGGCTTTTAAACCAAATATAGTATATGTGAGAAAAGCATCTGTTTTCAAATAGTATGGAGTCTAGGATCCAAAGTTAGCATGTGTTATGTTATAACATCCCCATTCAAATAGCTAATAAGAACATTTGTCTGTCAGTGTTGGTTTTTCTCGGTAGATATATGCTTAAGTCCCTTTTTCAGGTCAGCAAAATGGTGCAACAACTTCTGATTTGAAGGAGTAAGAAGGTGGGCTCTTAAGATAGCCAAAAAAATCATTCTTTGGCATTTAATGTTGAGAGCATTTTGATTAGCTGCACCATGTGTTGTCGTTATAGACTATTCTTTATCATTGTCTTGACTCTTGAGGTGTCACATTCTCAACTTGTAAACTTAAGTGTTCATATTTTTTCTGCTAGGGTGGATTGTGAATGTATGTAGCGGCTAGAGGCTTGTACCAAATGAAGCCTCCAATGATTATGCCTAAATCCATTGGGGGATGTGTGGAGACTTTGTTCGAGGTTCGCGGACAGTTAGATTCTTCAGAGCTAAAGCACATTCTTGGTGGCTTGGACATACGTAGTACAACCTCTAGCATCTAACTATCCATTGCAGCCGAAGATTTGGGGTTTCTTTGTGGATTTTGTTTTTAACTTTGGGAACTTCTTAGTGTAGTGGAGGAGTTCATTATAAGGAAAGATCTCAAAGTGAAAACCTTTTATCACCCTACCATGTCATTCAAAGCCAGGTTTCTTTGAGTAAATTCACATCGAATTTTCTACATTTTCCTGCTATTATTTGCCTTCATTGAATTGACACTCTTGTGTGGGAGATTGCAGGGTATGTTGGCCTTTGTGGAAATGAAATTAAGAGCTTGAAGGCTTCAGGTGTAGAGGACATTTCCATGAGCACACTTGCAACTATTTGAAAAAAATAGTTCAAGGGTGGAGAAACACCAGAAGGGAAAGAAAGATGCTTTAGAAGAGATGAAAATTTTCAGACTCTACAGAGGTGTCAGCAGAGCCATGGGGAGCATGCTTTCATAAGAGTTGGCTTTTGAACCAGAAACTGTATATGTGAGAACAGCATCTATTTCCAATTGGTATAGGAGTGGTTTGTCAGTGTTGGTTCTTATAGGTAATCATATGCTTAAGTTTCGTTTTCAGGCCAGCAGATGGTGCAACAACACCTGACATTAACGAGTAAGAAAGTGGCCTCTAAGATATTTTAAAAAGGTTTCTCTTAACAGCCCCAGAATTCTACGGCACTCTCTGAAAATTGTGGGCATAATCAACTTTAAGATTCTACAAACGAGACTGCTTCTCCCAGCAGGCAAGTGTCTCTTTTGTCTTCCTTCAGTCGCAGATAAAAAGATACAGTAGTAACAACACAATTAGTTCTGTCCTTTTAATTCTTAGGTGTAAGTCCAAAATAGAAGGTAAACAATCATGAGATAGTACTACTCTCATAACTTGTGCTTTGTCTGACCATAGCAATTAGTAGGCACATTTGTTTTGCAACTACTATATTGTCACATCTTGTTACCCTCGAGTTTTTTTAACCAGTTTTAAACATTGTTTTGGAGTAAATATTTTCCTGAGCAACTATTTGAAAATGATTCTTCGTAAAAGAAACAGCTGAAGAGAAATATATTTTCTTTGTAAAAATGAAGAATATTCAGACTTCAAAGAGGTGCAGTTGTGGTTTGAACTTTTCTTCCTACTTTCTAATCTTTATATAATTTCCTATAGAAGGTATCTTGTTTCTTGGTGACAGACGGCTGGCATAATGATACCAGTAGCTTCATCAGGTGTCGACGAGCATGCTTTTGAACCAAATATTGTATATGTGAAAAAAGCATCTGTTTTCAGTTAGTATGGAGTCCAGGATCCAAAGTTAGATAGTGTTAGGTTATAACATCCTCAAATAGCTAATAAAAAATTGGTTTGTCACTGTTTGTTCTTCTCGGTATATATATGCTTAAGTCCCCTTTTTCATGAAGGAGTAAGAAGGTGGGCTCTTAAGATATCTAAAAGATTATTCTTTGGCATTTTGTTTCGAGATCATTTTGATTAGCTACACCATGTGCTATAGTTAGCCTATGCTCTATTATTGTCCTGGTCTCAACTTGTAAATTGAAGTGTTCATATTTTTCTGCTAGGGTTGATTGTCAATGTATGTAGCGGCTAGATGCTTGTACAAAATGAAGCCTCCAATGATTATAGTGCCTAAATTCATTTGGGAATGTGCTGAAAGGTTCACTGACAGTTAGATTCTTCAGAGCTAAAGCACAATCTTGTTGGCTGGGACATAGGTAGTACAACCTCTAGCATCCAACTATCCGTTGCAGCCCAATGTTTCTGGTGTGGGTTTTTTTTTCTTAAACCTTGGGCACTTCTTGGTGTAGGGAATGACTTTATTATAAGGAAATATCTCAAAGTGAAAGCCTTCAAGACCCACCATGTCATTCAAAGCCAGGTTTCTTTTAGTAACACACACATGGAATTTCTACATTTTTCTGCTGTTATGTGTATTCGTTGAATTGACACTCTTGTGTGGGAGATTGCAGGGTTATATTTATATAGTTTATTCAACTAAACATAAACTCAAGCAGAAGTCTATTGGCATTTCTGGAAATGAAATTAAGAGATTGAATGCTAGTTTCTGGTCTTTTATATAGTTTTCGTATAAAAGGTATCCTGTTGCTTGGTCAAATACTGCTGGCATAAAAGTTATCAGTTGGATTCATAAGGTGTCTACAGTATCATGAGGCTTTTATGAAGAGAAGGAAGCGTTAAGAGAGAAGGTTTGTTTGGAGCTGAAGATGTTGTTACCAGGAAGTTGCTTAGGCAAGTGTTCTTGTTTAGGATTCAATAGTTGTGTGTTCCCATAACAGATTCTAGGAGAGATATGTTGTTATGTTATTGTTTGATTCCAATGGACACATGTAGGGAGACAGTCTCCCGGAGACTTGTAGGGTTCAACACTATGTATGTGTAAATATCATTGTTATTTGATTTTAACTTTGTTTCTGAAGATATAACGCTGTGACAGTTTTTTTACAGTTGTGCTAGTTGAGATTAAAGGGATTAGAATGCAAGGAATTAAAAAAAAAGAGAGACCCCTTTTTACACAAGCAAAAAAAACATGCGCTGTGAAATTATATAAATGAGAGATTCGGAAGGAAGTTATATATGAAAAGAAAGTCCAGAGAAAAATCAAAGAAAGTTGTTTCGCCAGAGAGAGAAGAGAGCGATTAGAGGAGAGAGAGAGAGAGATTAGAGCTTGCATCAGTGGTGGCATAAGTGCAGAAGAGAAGGCCACACACAACTCGGAGAATCCCAAAAGAAAAGCGTTTCTCTTAGACTCTTCGTGGTAAGTCATATGGTAAATGCGATTCCTCCAAGAAACTTGTTAGTTGTACAGATAACTGGAATCAAATTTGTGAACGTTTGTACTGGAATCGAATTTGTGAAGGGTGTTATGGTCTCCGATAGTTTTGTGTGTCCATTGATTTTTGTTCTAGGGTATGTTGTATTGTTGTTGTTGTGATTTATTCATGCCTAAGGATATGATTGAAATATCACAAATTGTACAGAGATTGCTTCAATTTGCAACTGGAATTCTACCATACAAGATAAATTATAATCCTTCTGTGTACCTGCCTGGCTGGGTTTTACATGTTATAGATTTGCTCACCTAGGATCCAAAGTTCTTATAATCCATGTGGTGAAAAGTGGATGGGTTTCTAGATTTGAGTCAAAGTTAGATCCGAATCTTTGATCTGAAATAGCATCCAAGTTAGAACATCCTGGATTAAATTAATATTCTGGGTGGAAAGTTTGCACTTTATCTTTTGAGGGACGAACTGGGTTTCTCATGTGAGAGATTGGAGATGATCATTAACCACACAATTAGTCAGATAATAACAATGAAATTATGTCTTTCAAATTGATCCAAGTTAGTAATCAGAAGAGAACTTATTGTTTCTCCATGATGATAATCATGGAATTTTCTTTTTCCTGTATATTGAATCTTTTCCATGTTTTGTTTTTGGCATTTAGGAGATAAGAAGGATCTGGGTTTTCCGGAGGGACTATATGAAGAAGCTGACCAACAGAATCATCGGTGCTTAGATAAGTGATGTGCTTTCAGATACTTTGCAAAAATGTTGGTGGAAAGTTCCTTCAGCTCTTCCCTTGAATCTAGTCTACTGAACACATCCGAATATCAAGACCCATTTGCTGCAAATGATTGGATGTCATCGCTTGCTGAAACTTATCACATGATTCACAAACTTCCCGAACACTCTCAAGTAAGCTTTCTTGATGCTGTTCCTGATGCAATGGAACTTAATGAATCAGAAGAACATCCAAAACTTCAAGTAAGCTGTCCAGAGCAAACGGTTATGCCTAAGGTACCTGATAAGGTCTTGGCTACTCTTGTGTATAGTCGAAGAAAGAGGAGTGTGGTACCTGAGGGAACTGAGGAACAGAACCTAGGAAAATGCAAGAAACTGGATGATTCATGTGGGGACTCTATTGTCCCAGTTTATGACCCTGGAGAAAGCACAAAAAGGCAAAATCGATTCAACAACTGTCTTGTCTATAGCCGAAAGAAAAAGAGAAGCGAAACCAGTAGTGTTACTGTTATAAGGGCTGATAGGATTGATGATGCCTTTGTCTCTGGACACAACTGTGGAGAAACCAAGAGAAGAGATTGTCAATCAGATATTTGTCTTGTGTATCGCCGCAGAAAGAAAGGTGAAGTAAAATCTAACAGATGTGGATTTAGCGAACAGGTCTCTAGAGGCACCAAGATAAGCGGTGATCAAGCTGACTCTTCTGAATATAGCCAGAGGGAGCAGATAGTTAAAGCTGATGAGGGCTTTACTGGATCTAACCCTGAAGAAATCAAGAATAGTGGTCATCGACATCTTTACAGCCAAATTAAGCCGTTGGTGAAATCTAATGGCAGTTTTGCTGAATGTCACACTTGGGGAACCAAGAGAACTGGTGATACATCTAATGGCTTGCTTATGTATAGCCGGAGGAAGCAGAGAGGGAACTCTATTGGTGCTCAGATTGATGGCTTTCTAGTGTATAGGCGGAAGAAGACCAAAGCAAATAGTCTTTCTCATGCTAAAGAAGCGTGCAGATCTCTGGAACATAAATCTATTGGTGATCGAGTTAATGGCCTTCTAGTGTATACGCGGAAGAAGCCTAAACTAAATAGTTCTCTGGAATGTGTCAATACTCATGTTACCGAATTGGCATCTTCTTCTGATGGAACAAATGACAGCTGCTCGTCAGAATTCAGCTCTGAACTTGTTTCTGGTCCCAGTAAAAATGGAGAAAATGAAGCTACAGATTGCGATTCCTCAGATACAGACGGTAGTATAAGCCCTTTCAGACAGTGCAAACGTTGTGATAAGGCAGGAACTGTGGAGAAGATGTTGATTTGTGATGAATGTGAAGAAGCATATCATCCAAGGTGCTGCCGTGTTCGAGTGAAAGAAGCTGCAGAGATGGATGACTGGGTCTGTCGATCCTGTTCGAAAAAGAAGTCATCAAAGACAAAGATTAAGAGGAGATCACGGGAACGGAAATGGAGAGTTACAGGACCATTTGTAATAGGAATTCGAGTAGGAAAAGAGTTTCAAGCACATGTTCCAGACTGGTCAGGTCCAACCATGAGGTATTTAACTTCAAATATCACTCTGCTCCTTTGAATTTATGAGTCTTATTGTGGAATAAAAGATGTCCTTTCACCACAATGAGTGGCCTTTGTTTGATCTGGTTGACATAGAAATATATTTTGATCTCAATGCAGTGATACTTCTTTTCTTGGTGAACCTTTGGAGATTGATGAGTCAGAATATTTGCATGTAAGCTCCAAAATTAGTGGATAAGAATATTTTTCAAGTTGCCATAGTGTTAAGTGGATTTCAGAGGATTGTCATCTTTCTGCAGGATCTCAAGAAGATGAAGAATGGTAAGAAACCACGTTCTGCAGAAAATTGGCTCCAATGCAGAGAGGAGGATAGGAATGGAGATATATGCGGAAAGTGGCGTAGGTAACGTCTTTCCTGGATGCTGATATCTATCACCTTTTCATCAAGCTTCTTACCATTATCTCCCTCCTTGTCGCATATCTGTAACTGTTGCCATTGGTGTAAAATGAATTACTCAATGTGCTTACTTTATATACACAGGGCTCCTCGCTCAGAGGTACAGACTAACAAGTGGGAATGCTTCTGCTCCGTCTTTTGGGATCCATTGCATGCTGATTGTGCCGTCCCTCAGGTCTTACCAACTATTCTTATATCTTCTTTTCCTCAAAGCCTAAGCAGTGTACATTCATGTAGTCTTGCTTCATCTCTGTCCATGAACATGTCACTGATTCTTAAGACAGGTTATATACATACTCCTACTAAGTGTTAATACAGTGTATCTTCTGTTTGTTTCGTCAGGAACTGGAAACAGACGAGATCATGAAACAACTCAAGTACATCAACATGGTTTGTTGTCTTTCCCATTGCTTCATGTATCTTTCCCATCTTTTGTTGTCTATCTTCTAAATTACCATCAAGGTTATAAGAACTGAATGGTCTTTGCACTGCAGCTTAGACCTCGTTCAGACGCCAAAACACGAAAGATGGGACCAAAGGATCGAAGCAGATCACAAAAATGAAAATCTCGATGGACGCAAGCTCAGCCAACATCAAATGCTCATATGCTTTTGCATCAGTGACTTTCGAAAGGTAGTTAGAGAAAATTTTGTAAAACACAAGTGAGTTTTGTTAGCTCCCAATACAGTGGTGAATAGAACATTTGTTCAGGGACAGGTTCTGGTTTAAACCTGAGATTTATTTTCAAAGCGACAAAGCATTCTGCTGAGAACAGATTCATTCATATAAGTAAATCAGTATTACATTCATAGATTGGACCTTGGAAGATAGTGAAGGAAAAGAGAGTTAACAGAAAATATGTTTGCCAATCTCCACAAGATTAAGAGAAACAAGAGCAAATCACCATCCGTATTTAGCTTGTGTCTCAGCTTTAGTGAGCAATCCTTTTGAACGTCTCTCTGCTAGCTCCGACTCCTTGTGCTTCATGTCCATGAATAACGCAGTGATCTGATGCTTTCTCTTGTGAAGCTTTGACACTTTCCCCTTAGACGAAGACGACTCAGGCTGCAACACAAATGTGAACAACAAAACATTTAAAAGACAATACAAAAATTCAAACAGCTCTCTCTTCCTATAAATCCTGACCAATGACAATGTAAGCCACCAACATAAGACGAAAACTTTCAGGCCTTCACCAAATACTCATCACCCATTAGATTCACATAATCAGAGCAATCACAGACAACTCACAAGTTATTGCAGCAAAAAGATCTCAAGAAAGAGTGAAAGAGTAGGAGTGTAGAAGCAAAACAAACCTACTGATTAATGGAGATCAGACGATAGGAAGTGATTTACAATTATATTTTACCTGCCTTTTAAATTAAATTTCAGGGTTTCGTAAATAGGTATCACCATCATCTAAACTGAAGAAAAGAGTTTTGATTCAACCAATCCAAGCAATCACAGTGTTAGAAGCTAAACAAATCTACTGATTATCAGAGATCATTGACAATTTATATTCTATTTACTTCTGTGGTTATATTTCAGGTTTCTCAAAGACAAAACAAACCTCAAACTAGAAGCAGCAAGCAGCAGATAAACTCAGGACTCCTACTCTTTTTACTTTTTCAAATACTCATCACCCAATAAAGCGCCCTAGCAGAAACCTCCTAAGAGAAAAAGCATTAAATTCACATAATCGGAGAAATCACAGCAATTCCCAAGTTCTTGCAGCAAAAAGATGTCAAGAAAGAGAAAGAGTTTGAAGCTAAACAAACCCACTCAATACTCATTATAGGAGATGATTTACAATTCATATTATTTCTGCCTTTTACAGTTAAATATCAGGGTTTCTCAAACAATCACACCATCCTGGAAGCTATCTAAATGGAAGAAAAGTGCTTCTGATTCACCAAATCAGAGCAATCATAAACAACTCTCAAGTTTTTGCAGCAAAAGATCACAAGAAAGAGTAATAGTTTAGAAGCTAAACATCCTACTCAAATTACTGGATATCATTTACAGTTCATATTCTATACGCTTTCTAGTTTCTAGAGTTAAAATTCAGAGTTTCTCAAACAGTCATCATCATCCTTTAAGCTATCTAAATGGAAGAAAAACTGCTTATGATTCACGTTCACAAAACCATAGCAACCTAGAGACATAATATCACAAGTTCTTGTCTTGCAGCAAAACAATAATGAAGAGTAAAGAGTTTAGAGAAGCTAAAACAAACCTGATAGGCAGGTCCAAAGGCAATCCCGGTAGATTTAACCTGATCAACTCTAGGCCTATTCTTCATGAGCTCATCCTGCCTAACCTCAACTATCTCCGTAGGAAAATCATTCCTCCCTCTCCTTCCTCTCCTCGCACCACTATCCATAGCTATAAACGCCTCAGGCACTCCCGTCCCACCACCACCACTGTTCCAAGCATTACCACCTCCATAGCTACTGCTATCATCATAGCCCACATAACCACTTCCACTAGGGTTGTGCTCATATCCACCATAACCAAAAGCATCTAAATTTCCACTAGGGTTTTGCTCGTAGCCAGCATAATAGTTATCTACTACTACTCCAGCTACTTGCTCCGTCTGGGTCGTCTCGGTACTAAACGACTGCGTTTGATCAGTACTTTGAGTAATCGCAGGTGTCTCTGTTTCAAGAATCGATCTTCGCCCCGTTCCTGATCCTGATCCCAACGAAGGAAGGGCGCCGAGTGTTTGCGAGCTCTTTGGGGCAGGCATGGCGGATAAGAAAGACGTCACCGACGAATTGTTCGATGCCGATTCCATCTGTCTGCGCTTCTTCCTCGCTTTCTCCTCTTCTTCTTCGTCTTCATCGTCGTCGAGATAGGTCGGTGTAGGGTTTACAGGAAGCTTGATCTGAACGACGCGTTTAGGTAAGGAGGGAGATGGGTTTTGTTGGCGGGATTTGGGGGGAGGGAGAGAGGAGAGGAAAGAGGAAGACTTTTCTCGAGTGGATGAAGATGAAATTAAAGGCTCATCTTTGGAGGATCTGGATTGGTTAGGTTGAGGAATAGCTGAGAACAAGGAGGAGGAGGAGGATGATTTTAGGGGGAGAGATTGTGGAACTTCTTTTTCTTCTTCGTCCGACGAAGCGTAGCTCGCTACCAGAGAGTCCATTCGGGGAGAGAGAGAGAAAGAGAGAGATGCCCGAGTATTTGTTGGGTGGTAAATTGGCTTCTTCTTTTTGTTTTTAATAAAAGCTTTAAGGCCCACTTAAAAGCCCGCTATTGGCCACAATTTGAATTGGTAACATTCTATTATTTTGTCAATCGATATTATAATGGTTGAGTTTAAATACTATAACGCGTCCTTTCAGTATCACATGGGTCTCACTTTAAAAAAAAACTAGATTTTGTTTAAGTACGGAAATTTTTATGATTAAAAATTTATATAATTGAGTTTTGTCTTAATTTAAAGAATATTTTGGTATAAAATCAATTCACCAAAATTGGTGGTGATAGTTGTTTTTCATTAGTTTTTAGTTTCAGTTTTTATATTTAGATTTTGTTTTAGATTTTGGTTTTTGGTTTTTAGTTTTTAAGTTTCTACTTTTGATTTTCAGCTTTTGGTTTGCGTTTTTAAATTTTAGACCTGTTGAGTTAGTTTGAACTGATATTACCAACAAACAAATCCTAAATAATCGAACATCAAAAAAATTTGCAATAGTTTATTTTGTAGATAAACAAAAGCAAAAAAAATATAACTTGTGTTTTCATCTTTTGGTTTTTAGATTTGGTTTTTGGTTTTGCTTTACATTTTTTTTTTAAATCAGTAAATTATTTAAGAAAAATAAAACAATAAATTATTTAAAAGTTACCATTGAAATTTATTAAAATAAAGTGATTGTTATTTAAAATTAAAAAAATACATTAACATGTTTTAAAGTACATGATTTAAATAAATGATTAATAATAGACAATTTTTTTTTGTTAAAAATATTAAATACCTTTTGGGCCTAAAAATAATAATTGATTTTTTTTTATCTATTAAGGTGGAAAGTTTATTCAATGTTTTTGGAGTTTTTCCTTAATATTAAGCCCAAAAACCAAACTATATAATTTGTTCTAAAAACAAAAGTAAGCCCAAAACTATATCCCATAAATAACCATCGGTTTAATTTAAGTAATGCGGTTTAATTAATTATATGGCTTGTGTTACATATTTGTAACCCTCTAGAAAGGGTCCAAATTTAAATGACAACTTGTATCAGTAGATAAAAAGAATGACTCTATTTTAATAGAGTAGATTGTAAAAAATTATTAAACTTATGATTCGAATTCGAGTTATTAAGATATAAACACTAACATTTATATCACTAAACTAAAAGATAACTTGTGCATTGATAGTCGAAATCAATATATTTATGAAAGCCGAAAATCCTTTTTTCTTTGGCTTCATTTGAGGGTCGGATCTACAAGTGTATTATAGGTTTCATTTTTAACTAGGTTTTATCACGCTATATGAAGAAAATTTTCAAGTTTCTAACAGTTATAATTTTTCTGTATTGTAAACCGTCGCCGTTTAACATGAGTTAAGATTCCTTTCATCATCGTCTTAGACAGGTCTGGGTTACAGGATTGAGCCGTGTATATATTTGTAATCTATTTTTTTCACTAGTGAAATCTTCATCTCTTCATCTCTCCATCTTACATCACTTGATTATAAATGTAATGTTCCTGATTTGTAATCCCTATGTAAACCCTATTTATATGATTATTATCTTTGATGAACCCAATCTGCATCTCCACAAAACTCACTCATCGATTCCTCTTAGTTTTAACAATTTTCTAGAAAATGTCTTTCTCTTTTTCTCCAGTTCCTAAAACCAGTGTCACCAGCGTTCGTCATGTAACCTTCAAGTCTCTTTTTCATGTTAAAGTAAACACAAGTCATACCAACCAAATTAACATATAGAATCTCAAATAATTCAGTATTGGTTTTAGTAAACGAAACTAATAACAATAGAAACAAACTCATACAACAAATTCAAACCTTTTTATTGCAGGTTCCGAGAATTCCGAATCAACAGAGGTTCACTGAGTAAAGAATATGGCGGAGACAACCTTAGCTGAGGTGAGAAAATCTCTCTTCCATGCTGCTATAGAACAACTATAATTTCATAAACTGACACATTAAAAATATAATCAGGCCAAGAATCACAAAATCTTGTCACACTGCTGAAGATGACGAGAAGAAACAAAAAAGGGAAGTAAACGGTTATTCCAGATTCAAACTTCAATTGAGACTCAAGGCCCACCAAATTTCAAGCCCAATCATTTAAAAACCCAGCTACTACGTTTTCATTATATTCGAGTATAGGCTTATACCACTTTAAACTTTTTACCATTCCCATTTTTTTAACTACCACAAAAGATTTTTAACAAATACAAAAAAGTAACAATCTTAATCATACATGTGTATAATTATACAAAATTCTAGAATTATTAAACTATAATTATATATTTTCAAAAACATATCATGGCACATTAGAAAAAACAAACTATTTCGTTTTGGATAACAAAATTCTTTCTTCTATGTTCTCATATTAAAATAGTATATTAACAAATACTTATGTTCGGCTACATATAATCATGAAATCTCAAATAACGTTAAGATCTGATTAAATCATACAAAAAATGTACGAACCAGTGGGTTTATTAAACACTTTTATCTGCAAATAAAAACAGGTTTTTACTCACTAATAAATATTAACCCCTAAATATTCCGCTCAACCCCTTAACAACCACATTTCCCCTTTCTCTCTTCAATCTATTAAACTATATTTCTTTTTTTAATTTAAAAAATCTTATTTTTTTTTAAATACCAATTCACTATTTAACAATAATATACTACTAACCTACAAATTAGACAATAAAAATCCAATAAACCACCCATCATGGATATGAAAGCACTAATAACACAAATACTCGAGAAAATCATTACTTAAATATTATATGAATATTTCAAAGCTTATGAATTCTCACTCATTCGTATATCAACTCAATTCAGTCGGGTTTTCGATTAAACCCCAAACAAAAAAATGTCCCAACACAAACCATCTATAAAATATTACAACGCATCATCACCATACCCGGCTCCGCGCTTGCTTGGAACAATGAACTTAGTGCTATTAAAACATGAGATTTTTTTTTTGACAACGAACGGCTGATCTATTACTCAAGTTTGAGGTGGTCTGCGAAGCCAGACCGGAATAGAACAACCAACATACAATAATTCTCGATAAAAGGATCGATCAGGTTTAGCTAAAGAGTCAGCAACACCATTCTGCGTCCTAGGAACATAGAAGATCTTGGAAACTGGAAAACAAATCCGCAGCGTCATGATCTTTTCTAACTCTGTTGAGAAACTTGGCCAGCCGTGAGGATCTCTAAGCATCACTGTTAACCCCTTGCAATCCATCCCAAAGCTCTGACATGGAGAATGTTGAAGCATATTCTCCATTGCCCACCGCAGTGCTTCCAGCCCAGAGTGCAAAGAAGACTCCATTCTACTAAAATTACGCATACTCATTAGCTGACTATTTCCCATACTGTCATTCCAGACCCATCCACATCCACTGAATTGCGTTGTAGGTGTCCAAGAACCGTCAACCATACATATATCTCCCATATTATGGTCTGGTTGACGATATCTAAGTTTCCTTGATCTGGCAATATGATCTGTTCATTTGCTTTAAACCAGACTTGACACTCTCTCTCTCTCTCTGCATACCGGGCTAACTCCAGTGGGTCTCTCTCAATACCTCTGAAAAGCTTATCGTTTCGAGCCTTCCAGATATACCAAATTAGCCAGGGATATGGGTCTCTGTCCATTTCTGCTTCCATTATGTCATTTTTCCTCCGAAAGAGATAATCCATATTCGCATATGTGCTTTGTAATGGAAACAAGGTAGGACTGGAAGGCGTAGAAGATAAGGCCCAAACTTGCATTGCAGGTGGACACTGAAAGATTGCATGTGCAACTGATTCTTCTGTCACCTCACATCATGGACAGTGGTTATCACATCTCATATGTCGATAGTTCAGAGTACTTGTAACAGCCATATGACCTGTTACTATTTACCACATAAGATGACATGTCTTCTGGGGTGCCTTAACCTTCCAAGCATGTGCTTGGAGTTTTGTGATACTAGGTTCACAAACTACAACTTCCTCCTCATTCATCAGTATATTTCGTGCAACCCAATATCCAGATTTGACTGTGTACTTTCCATTTCTTGTATAACTCCAGCAATATGTGTCCATGTGATGTGTTGCACTTATCGCCATGCTCCTTATAAGTGGTATATCAGCCGCATCTATGTAGTTCTCCAGCCGGTTCAAATCCCAAGACTTTGTTTCTTGGTTAATGAGGTCGCTCACTCGCATATTCAGATGTAAAACTAGTACATATGGGACCGCTGATCTCGCTGGAAGGGTAGGGATCCATGGATCCTACCATACTCTAACCTAATATCCCGAATGTATTTTCTGTCTAATCCCCAACATTAATAATTTTCTTGCCGCTGATATACTTGTCCACACATACGATGGACTACTGACAGTAAGCTGTCGCAAGGGTGAGCTTGATCGATAATACCGGCCTCTCAAAACTCGAGCTACCAGTGAATCTGGGTATTGAACCAATCTCCATAACTTCTTTTCTAATAGCGCTAGGTTAAACTCATGAATCATTCTGAATCCAATCCCTCCTTCCTCTTTAGATAAGCATAACCTATATTAACCAGTGAATACCTCTCTTTGGGAGATTCGAACTCCACCAGAACTGTACAATGGCACTAGCTAAAGCATCACAAATCTCCAATGGAAGAAGGAAACAGGACATCACATAAGTTGGAAGTGCTAACAAGATTGACTTGATCAAAACTTCCTTGCCACCTTTTGATAACCACCGACCCGTCCATTCATTCACTCTATATCTTAGCTTATCCTTTAAGAAGACAAAAAGCTTGCATTTGGATCCACTGATATCCTCTAGAATTCCCAAGTATGTTCCCATTCCTCCTTCATTCTGAATCCCAAGTGTCTTTAATCTCTTGATGCAATCATGGTTGAGCCAGATGACTATGCGACAAAGGATAAACCGGGATGGCTGAA